CTGGTCTTATATAGAAGACGTTTCTTGGGAAAAATAAAGCTTTTCGGTTGATTCCGAGGGGAACGGGAAAATTGTACCAAAACATTTACGAAAAAAATATACGTGTTCAATGCTCGGAGGACAGTGTATTGATCCATCACGCGGAAAACAGGGAACAGAAATCATAGAAAGGGAATGTTCTGAATCATTAGAGACGGCGCCAAGGATACATTTTAGACAGCATATTAAAAGTTACAAAAAATAGGTATATCGACGGTGAAAGTCGGCAATCACATAACTCGGTTTGCGACGTCGCAGACTTCCTGTCATACTTTATTTTTAAAATGGAAAACTACTCAACGGCAATTCTTTAAAACTGTCATGATTTTTCTTCTCAATGCGAAGAAAATTCTGCAAAAACTTCAAGAAATAATATCAATTTGTTCTCCTTTAAAAAAATGACGTAGAGGCGGAGATTTTCAGACACCGCAAACGAGTTATGTGATTGCCGACTTTCACCGTCGATATGAGGATCGCTCTAAGGAAGTCTGTATCTATATTAGATGCAGAAAAGAATAGAAGCTAAAAATAATTTAGTGTAATGCTTTTTTTAGAATTGAATTTTGAAGAGCCCCAAGAGAGCGCCGTAGCGTGGCCGCTTCCCAGAAAATACGGGGAAATTTTCCGAGTGTTCTATTTGTAACTGCCACACTAATACAAATACCCTTGTCTCCAGTTCCACAAAATTAGACCCAGAGTCTTATATTTCCTCCGAGTGTGTTTTTAAGAGATGTATCTTGGAAGGAATAAAAGTATTTCGTCTCTTTCGGGAAAAACAGGAGAAAATATCCCGCGGAGTTCAGTGCACGGAACACATGTGTTGTCTCCTCTTCAAAACGCGTGATGAAGAAATCAGGGATAGAAAATTTAGGGCGCCTTCTCTCTAAAATTGCTCAACTTTATTTTTTGCTTGAAGCTTCATTTCGTCATTTCCCGCACGAAGAAACGTAACTCCATTCCAAAGTTGCAAAATTGACTCAAACTATTCAATTCTTTACAAAAATAAACTTGCGTAATTTACGTCGAAAATGTGTCTCATTATTGCACGAGATCGGAAGAAAAATTGGTGAAATTGTAAGTCAGAAATTCTAAAAATTCCCCCTGTGAAAATGCAATTTTGGGGGAAAACCTCGCACTATCGAAATGTAATTTTAATAAAACGATCGAAATTTTTATAAACAGTAAAAGCTGTTGTATTACAACTTTTGAATTTGTTTTCTTTTAAAAGAAACTCGCGTTTTCACTTGCGAAGCGAGAGCGTGAGATTTTTTTTTTTTAATTTTTCAAAAGTTTCAATATTGAAATGTAGTTACGACCTTTCTAGAAGGAAACGAGGATTTATGCCACTATACACAAATAGTATTTAAATGCGCTAGGCAAACTAAAAAGAAATACATAAAAATAAAGGATCAGTACCACGTAATTCCAGCATTGTAATCCAGAATAAAGAAAAGGAAGTAGTGTTTATCATAAAACTGAAAGTACGCGTCCTCTCCACCCCTCCGTGTTCCTAATTCCAGCCAACGAGAGTTTATGCTCTTAACCATTCGCCAAAGTCTGCGCCATGAGCATCCTTTCTCCACCATCGCAAAAGAGCCAGGACGGAAAAAAAGGCGGTCGTAATCACTTATGCATCTTCGTGCTTTATCCCGCCGTAGAATTACTCCCGCCTTAAAATCCGCGCTATTCACGGACGAAGTCGCCGGATTCTCCACCAGACGGCAGCACCGTCGCTTTCAGCTCGGAGCGAAATGAAAGCCAGGGAAGAAGCAGAGGCTCCGTACTTACAAATAAACTGGAGTTATTAAACTTCGAATCAAAAGCCTCGCGACGCGCTACAATTTTCTATCTTTTGTTCAAGAAAAATGGAGGCAGCGGTAAATACTCGGCGCAAGTGGCACTTTACATGTTTTCATCCCGGCTCGCTGAAAAACGCGAATAAGAAAAAAAAAGAGCCCCGCTCCGAAGATTGGATGCTGCATCAAAAGCTCGCTTTTCCGTTTTTTAATCACGCTAAGATACGAGCCGCATTTATGAGAATAATGAATTTTTGAATTAAAAACCAGTAATGATGTATTCCCGAGCTTAAAGTCCGCCTGAAAGGAAACCTCGCTGTATGGACGCGAAGCAAAGGGGTCGGGCGCACTTTTAAGAGTCGCGGATAATGCGAGAAGGGAGGACATACTTTTAAGAGATGCTAGGTGATTCACCCGAGCGCTCATTATGTAGAAAGTAACAAAAAAAACGTTGGTTTCTTTCCTTTCCGTGCGCGCGCGGGGAGGCGGGCGGAGTTCGAAGGGAAAATCTGGAGTAATTTAGATAAGTAATATGTTTGCTAACATATGTCGGAGTCCTCTTTTATATTTATCAAGTGAGATGCGCCCTCGTATCCGAATCGCTCGGCTAGAGAACGCCCCTGCAGTTGCGGTGAGGGTGGGGCGGAAACGGGGGGAGAGCGCCCTCTAGCGGAGGCCGGGAAATACTACCGCGCCAAGCCAAAACCGCGGATTTACATAGGTTTTTCGTTGGAGTTGCGCTGTTCCTGCTTAGGCGAGGCAGAAGACGCGTTCCCGTAATTATTTTCCCCGGAATTAAATTGAAAAGTTGCGTTTCCGCGCAGGGGAGCCCGGACCTCCATCCGGCTTTTTACATTTTTCAGAATTCGAGTGTTTTTTTCATTTTTATTTTTCGTTCCCCGCCTCCCCTCTCGACGAGATGCGTTTTTCCTCCGTCTTAATATCTTTCGACTCGTAGCCCCTTTTCCTCTGCCGCGGCGTCCCTTTGCTGCCGGCCTTCGTTCTGCAAAACGACGGATGTCTCGTTGATCTTCGAGGGTCAATACGCCGTTTTTAACGAAAATCTCTTATCGGTTCTTGTCTCGTTTGATGGAAACTCATTCGTTTCGGAACGGAACCGATGAAGTCTTCGTATTGACTTTTCATCTCGCTTTTCTTGCTTTCGGCCGCGGGCTGATGTAAACATAACCATTGAACTTCTTCGATGTTAAAAATAAAATGGACTTTTATTTCGGTCGGAACTCTCGTGTCAGGTTTAGGAACTCACATGGCCCGCAAAGTGGGAAGTAACTAAAAATAAGTGCCGTCCGAAATATAGCCCTTTGGGATTTATAAAGTACACCAGACTGATTGTAACGTGTGTGCTCTGTTACACCTGAGAGTCAACGTGTTCCGGGTAACTCGTGACGTAAACTTGGATTCAGGAACTCACGTGGCCAACAGAGCGGTATGTCGCTAAAAATACATTCTTTCCGGCGAAAAGTCTTTAACTTTTGATTCGAAATGAAGGAATTGCAATTCGTGTGATTCGTTCGATCTGGAAATTAACATGTTTCATGTGACTCATTGCAGTTCTCATATATTTGTTATTTGACAACTTTTATGGCTCATTCACAAAAGCTGTCTATAGGAAACAAATGGTAGATTTGTTAAGTTTAAAATGAGGTAGAAATAGTAGGATGGAAGGATGATTTTCCTTGGGAGATTCTGATAGGGCGAAAATAAAAGAAAGCAATTGAGTTCGCCTTCAAGTGAGCGCTTATGCAATCTCAGCTACTCAGAAGTTCAAATAGTTGTATCACACACTTCGGTACATCGGCTGCTAATTTAGGGACAGAATTCGACAAAATACTGGCGAGCTCATTGTTGAAACTGTTATAGGCAAAGCTATAGACAAAGATGATAAAAGGGATATGGAGGGATCCTACTGGTGGAAGCGGGTGGTTGCAATGGACAAAGAAGGTCCATAATAGACTATGCAACCCACAGGAGACCCTATAGTTAGTTTATAATTTTCTACCTTAGTCTATAGGAACCAATCATTTCAACCTATGGGATCACTTCATACTCCCCATATCTTCTTTGTCCATAGTTTTGTCTATAAGAATCTAAAATCCGCCCAACAACGAGCCGCGACAGAAAAAAGGGAGAAGAGAGAGGAGTGTTAGTATGTTTTTCCAAATAAATCGAATAATACAGGTATTAAGCGAATTTTTGCGATCGAACATCATTCACCGTTGAATGATGTTCGACGATTGTATATTTTATTTTAACGATTTTCGAATTCCTCGTTAGCCTCACCGGAGACTGTTGAAATTCATCAATTTAAAATTTCGAATTCACCTCGGGACTTGAATTCGATTTTCGAATTGGTGCAATCGATGACAGAAACTTCCTCTTTCACCAGGATTTTTGTTTCGTAATTTCTTTCTGCTGTTGTGTTTTGTCATTTCAAGTTTGCTGTGTTTGCAGTTTGCTGCGTTTTAGTGTTTCGTATTTTCGTATTTTCTTCTTGATTTTATTCAAGAAAAAAATCTGAACTCTGATTGGCTCCTGCATTCACCGATCATCGGCATCACTTAGCATTTATCAATAGAGATGTTGCATGTGTGAGGAACTTGCGATTTGACTGTTGATTCTTCTGTAAAAGTTTGCGAGAAACACGATGGTGACACTGGTTTTCTCTGAAATCAACTCCCAAGCTCAAGAAAAGCTCTCGAGTTGAGGCCAAAATGGCGGGGATATCCCACCCTACCCTGAGAATCCACCTCTACATCAAAACAAACTCTCGATGCAAAGATAGGGAGCAAATACATTAGCAGGGTTGCCGTGTTTTCAGTTTTAGAGTCCTCAAATGAAGTGGCAGCCCTGTCAATGTATTTGCTCCCTTTCTTTGCATGGAGCGTTTGTCTCGATGTAGAGGTGGACTCTCAGGATAGCGTGGGATATCCCCTCCATTTTGGCCTCAACTTGTGAGCTTTTTTGAGCTTGGGAGTTGATTTCAGAGAAAACCAGTGGCACCGTCGTATTTCCAGCGAACTTTTACATAAGAATCAACAGTCAAATCGCAAATTCCTCACACGCGCAACATCTCCATTCCTTTGATGAATGATATTCGATCGCGAAAATTCGCTTATTTTAATCCATTTCCGATGTTTGTTGCAGGTATGGTTTAGCAACAGGAGAGCGAAATGGCGGAGAGAGGAGAAGCTGAGGAACCAACGACGCGGTGGCTCGGTGGTTGACCCCTCGCCGACCCCCGCCTCGACGAGCCCCCCCGCTCCCTCTAGTCGTCTTCCCCTAAACACCGGTTTCAACTCCATGTACTCGTCGATACCCCAACCCATGGCCACCATGGCCGAAACCTACAGGTGAGCTCAACGCCTTCACTTTCACAATCCAAAAATCTCACATGCAGTTAGCCTAGCAGTTGCTGGCAATTTCCACGCGGCATGCGTGTTTTCATCAATTTGCTACCAACGACTAGATGCAACTATTACTGCTCTATGGACGCCGGTGTTGCATATTCACAAAATTGAAGGGTTATATGATACTGATGTGCGCGTAGACTTAGTAAAGGTTTCATAAGTGCAGAACTTTCATCACCTCAGCTTTGAGCGCCTTCAAATCCGGTGATACTCGCCACTTTGCGGGCACACAGTGGATCGAGTCAATTAGAAAGGTCGGACATGAAGTTTTTGAAAAAAAACTACGAACTTTGATGTTTATTTCGTCACATTTTAAATTTCAATGAGTGGTACTAGAAGAGAATTTTACGAAGAAACCTATGAAACCATTTTTAGAACCTCAAAGTCTTGTATAAACGGAATTATAAGCGTTTAGAGTTCACAAATGTTGTCCGACCTCCCCTACTGTGGGGCAGTTAGTTTCGTTGCCTTTCGAACCAAACTCAACTAAGGTCACTGATTTCACTCAATCATTAAGTACAGTAAACGCGCACTCGTGAGTATGTTGTAACTGTATTCAATAGCGTGAATTCAAAAAGTAATTTTTGTAAAGTAGTTTTTTATGTACCAAAGTAAAGTTTTTAAAAACTACTTTTAAATATTAGCGATTTCTATAAGGAATACACTGAATAAAAATCTCAGTGAATTTACTAAGAAAAGGGTAAAATTACTAAGAATTCAGGGTTCTATTTGATCCCAGTTTTTTCTTGGTAAAATCACCATTTATGGAATTGGTAATTTGACCGAGAAATCTCGGTAAAATTACTGACTTTCTCGGTAATTTTACTGGACCTCGGTAAAAAAGCCAATATTTTTTATCGACTGTGGTAGAATTACCGAGATAAAATGGCAAAGTTACCGGGAATTGATTACCAATAAAAGTGGTATTATTACCTGAGAAAAACAGTAAAAATACGGTTTTTAGGTAAGCTTACCAGTCTGTCTTAGTAAAATTACCAATAATTGGTAAAAAAAAAGTGAGATGGTAAAAGTACCAACGGACCTTGGTAAAAACGCCGAGAATTTTTTTTCAGTGTAAGGACAATGATTTCACTCAATCACTAAGTACAGTAAACGCGCACACGTTAGTATGTTGTAGCTGTATTTAATAGCGTGAATTCAAAAAGTAATTTTTGTAAAGTAGTTTTCTATGTATCAAAGTAAAGTTTTTAAAAACTACTTTTAAATATTAGCGATTTCCATAAGGAATAAATCTTTTTACTCTAGCTGAGTACTTAACCCTTTATGCATAGCGTTGCACGAAAGCAACAAATGTTTTTCAGCTTTATTTCTATGCTGGAGTATTAAATTGAATCAAAGCAAGAAACAATTTTTGGGGAACATTATATGTCTGATCTCATTGCTTAGAAAAAACCATAAAAATCGATTCCAACCGACTCTAGTGTCAAAAAAATACTGTACAATGTAGATTTTTTCTCCAAAATCAACGATTAGCTCAACTTATAATTCTTTTTGGTTTGTTTCAGCTCTATGACAGGGAGTCTGAGCATGAGCGGGAGCTGTTTGCAGCAGGCGGCGCGCGACCACCACAGCTACCCGTACATGTTCCACGACCCGCTCCACTCGCTGAGCTCCTCCTATGGGCACTCGCGCGCGATCGGGCACTCGCAGAGCGGAGTCAACGCCCACTCGCCTTACTCCACAGCCGCGCCTGTCAACAGCACGCCTGGAACCGGCACCGGTGAGTTCCGACTATTTTAAATATAACCATCTCGAATACACAGATATAGACGGAAAAGGTCAACTGGAAGTGGATCAGTTCGGAAATGTACTGGAATCTTGTTCTGAACCATTTCAACGTCCAGTCAGCGTGCGATGATGTCGTTTTCCGGATGGAGGGACACTGGAAAAAAGTCACGGGCTGCACAGGATGATCCAAGGTCAAATGGCCAGACCAGGGTGGCATGGAACGTAAGAAAGAAATGAAAAATTGGAAATTTTAGCGAGATATTTCATTAAATTTCACAAGGCCGTGAAATATTTCATATCTTTCAGGGGCTGGATACTTTTTTACTTTCTCGGTGACTAGAGTACAATTTCACTGAGAGTTAAGACGCCCGGAACCGGCACCGGTGAGTTCCGATTATCTTAAATATAACCTTCTCGAATACACGGATATAGACGGAAAAGGTCAACTGGAAGTGGATCAGTTCGGATCTGGAATCTTGTCCTGGACCATTTTAACATCCAGTCAGCGTGCGATGATGTCGTTTTCCGGATGGAGGGACACTGGAAAAAAGTTACGGGCTGGACAGGGTGATCCAAGGTCGAACGGCCAGGCCAGGGTGGTATGAAATGTAAGAGAGAAATGAAAAATTGGAAATTTCAGCGAAATATTTCATTAAATTTCACAAGGCTGTGAAATATTTAATATCTTTCAGCACTTGAAAAAAAAAGAAAAAACATATTGGATCTAGAGTCCTGACTCTTGAAAACATTGACAAGAAAAAGGACTCTTGATTCAATCAGATCTAAGCTTAAATCAAGAGGAAATCCGCTTAAATTAAGAGGCTTGGTTCTTGATTTAATCTTAAATCTGATTGAATCAAGAGTATTTTTTCTTGCCGATGTTTTTAAGAGCCTGGACTCCAGATCCAATGTGTTTTTTTCCAGTTGATCGGCAGAAAATTAGTTAAATTATTTTCATATTAAAAATATATTTTTTTTACAGTGAGGGGCTAGATGCAAGCCCTACAGAATCAGAATCAGATCAGAAATGGATTCGCATTGTCTTTACGAGAGTCCGTTTATACCGAGAGTCGAGACAACACCCTCTATTGGTGACTTTTCCCTTTTATAATTTTTCTCTCAACGGCCTTATTTTTTGATTTGTTTCAGGTGTGATTTCGGCCGGCGTGTCGGTACCGGTGCAGATCCCGAGCCAAAGCGACCACCACGCCAGTTTGGCCTCCAACTACAGCCACTGGTCGCGGCTCCAGTGATCGCAGCTTTTTGGGTTTCCTGCCTCCTTCGCCCAGCACAGCAAATTCGCCCCCACCCCCGCCCACCTTCCTATCACCGCATCCGCCTCCTCCACCCCCTCGCCGCAGCCCTCCAAGGAAACCCAAAACTTCGGTTCGCAAGGTGTACAATAAAATTCGTAAATATGTAAGTCGTTTTGATCTCAAGCCTAATTAGCACTTTCAGACCCCCCCCCCTCCTCAGGACGTAATTTGAGAATACAGCGTTGGCAGCTCGAAAAATTATTAGTCAACGCTACAAACGTCGATATTCCACCGTTTTCGAACATATAGACTGCTATTGTATTTAAACGGGACTATTGATGTCATGTTTGACAGAGATGCGCTTAAAAATCGAGACTTAATTCTGCAAGAAGGGAATACCATTTAGACTATATTTTTCAGTTCATGTCATTCGTTTTTTGCCTCATTTTAGAAACGACGTATGTGCCATTAATTTTCCCGTACAAATAGGCGTTTTTACAGAAAGGTGGCAGTCCATGTGGACTTTATTTTCCGATAAAAAAGTATGATTACTGTCTCGTCTACAGAGGCGCCCATCTCCATAGGGAAACATACACACACATTACGTTTTTCCCGACAAGAGGCAGAAAAAGTGATTCCTCATATCAAAATGAAGTCCATTTGGTGCATCAATTCAAGCAACTATCTGTAGAAGAGGACAAATGACACATACAATATTTTAATATTTACATTTCAATTGATGAAAAAAAAAAAAATCCAAACTTTGATGTGCCAAAATGTAAACGAGTCAGCTATAACTAGTCACTTCTCAGATTAAGTCATCGCTCCCCCTCCCCTTCCCACTATCTTTACTTATTGAACTTGTGAATGGAAGTATCCCATGTTTTGCTTGAAGCCTGCTCAATACTTTTAGTCAGCATTTTGTCTTGCCGATCTCTTGGGTAACTAAATTAGTTTACAGTATAGGAGGATATCATAAGTATCAGTCCATCAGGATCATTGGTATCAATTATATTATGGCGGATAATCATTTTTAGACGGTGATAATGGAATGGAAAGACAACAGCTATTTTACTGTAGCGCACCTGTCTAAAAAAAAAGTTAATAAAATTAATTAGTTGTTTCTGAACTTGTGTTTAAAATGGTGCTTTCGTTCAGTTTCAAACGGAATCGTCAATATTGAGGATTCATAAAATTTTAAATTTTTCAGCTTATTCAAGTAATGTTTGCGAAATGCTTAATTCCTGACAATTTTTAATTTATGACACTTTTCTGCATAGTAAAAATAAAATTAATCATTGATACAAATTAATCTGCTGTATTGAAACTGTATGGTTGGGAAACGCAATCATATGAGATCATTACCAGCCATATTCTTTTGCCGGACGCATTTTATGCGAGACATGAATTTTTAATGTCATTGTTAAGCTTGATTCAAAATAGCGACTTAGAAAAAAAAGTCTTGATCCTTATGTTCGCCAAGCATTTTTGAAATAATATATTTTTGCCAATTTTAATAGCGCACCTTCTTTTTTTAGAATTTTTTCGGTATCAGGGTAATGTACAAATAAGACAGAAAATAGAGCTTTCAGACCCTCTAACAGCCATAGGCTCAACTTTTGCTCACCATTCGGGCTTCAACTAAAATCCGAGGGTGCAATAAATTTTTCTAATGTTCTCCGCATTTACGATTCAGCCCTAGTTGCTTTCAACTTTCTTTAGGCTATAGTTTTTGAATGAAGACCGCACAAGCGTTATGCAATGCAGAATTAATGTCCACAAAAATTTAACAAATAGCTCAAGTATAGTGACATTATGAAAACCTCCCGGAAAACAATGATACAACTTATAAAAATATTTAAGTAGTATATCTGGTAACTTGGATTTTTTTGGTGCTCATACCACCATTCGCAAAGGATCCCTGTCTTTCTGAATCATCGCACCCAACTCTTAAACCAAAAGAGTTTCTTTAAGCAAAAAACTTGTGATGTAATGTATAGATTTTTGCATTGTAAGATTGTAAATATTGTATTGTAGTTATATCAAATACGGTAATATAATTGTGTTACAAACTTCCCTTTACTAAGCTTTCTCCTTTCCGTTGCATCGAGGTTACAATGAACTTAAAGCCATTTAAACTACGATGTATTGCTAGAAAATTTCAATGACATCATTGTAACCCTCAAAGGCACCCCCTTCAAATTTGCAAAATGTACTGTAATTTTCCTTAATATGTGATTACAAAAACGATTTTGAACTTGACGTGTTCAAGTTACGGGGTCGCCAGAGGTAATCGTTTTGGAAACAATTAAGATAATTTGACGATGTTCGTCGAAAAAATTTCAAAAAACCATTTTTCAAAGATCAGAAGAGTTGCCACTAGGGACGAAAAATTTCAATTTGAGCTTAATCAAGAGTTTTGAAAAATTTTGCTCAATAAGTACTTATTCCCTCTAAATGTGTGTAATAAAGTAATTTGGTCCTACAAGTAAAAAAAGAGAATTTTCCTGGTGGAAATTCACGCTCTACTCTTGGACGGAAACATATTTTTAAACTATACATATGTACCTACTTTAAATGACCCGGTTAAGTGAATTATAACGTTACAGGATTCACAGCGGCGCGGCGTCCTTGGCGCTACATAAACTGATCTGCTGTTTAAACCTATGGTAAAGGATTGATAAACAGGTTTTCCGCAACAAACACCTTAATAATCTATTCTTTACCAGCCACAGCTTCAAATGGGGAAGGTTGATGATCGATCATTCACGCCTCGCCACTGAGGATTGAATTCATTAAGTGCTCCCTGTGAATTATGTTCTTTCAGCTAATTGTAAGTTCCATCCCACAAACGGATATTAGTTGTCCCGGTAGTACCACCGTTGCATGGGCAATAAAAGGCAATTTTAGTCCTCAAATCTTTCTCCAATAGTTTTTCTCCCCCTTGAATATGCATTTAATTGAGGAACTGAGTAATATCAGTTCACAAAATTTGTTCTAATTTCGAATCCGACGGATGGTAAATCTGTGACGTATACCAGTGTTTAATTTGCAATCTCATCTTATGTATATTATTGTAGGTTTCTGATGTAAAATTTTTGTCTAGTATATACATTGACGCATAATGTGAAAAAAGTCTTGTTTAGGATAAACAAATTCAATATTATTAAGCATGTTATATTATTTTGTAACTATGGATGAAATAAAGTGTTTTTTTCTTTCATACGAGCTATTCCATCGAGTCATTCCTACCCTCCTCTCTGCTGTGCTAAGGAAGAATGTCGTATGAACATTCGAAAGCTGCCAAATTTTCCTTAATACAAATGTATATTGGACGACATTCATGCATAATTTCCCTTGAAATTTTCAGATATTTTAGATTGAATTGCGTACGAAATCGTCTGAAAATGATGGGGAAAAATATTCACAATTTTCCCAGTAAATTCGGTTTTTTTTCGCAGGAAACTTGGCAACGTCTGAAGGCTCATAAGGCGTTCTTCCTTAGCACGGCAGCTCTGTACTTGGTATTTTAGGTAACTCCATTGGATTGAGACGTAAAATTCTTCGATGTTTAATCGAAAATAGTTAAAAATGTGAGTGAAGATTCTGAAGAATTCACTCGGAAAAGATGGCAAAACGATTAAATCCCGAAGAGGCAGTTCATAAAATGTGCAGGTCTAAATTTCAACCCCCTTGTGACGTCTTTTTGACGTAAGTCCTCGTCCTTTACACGTTTGAACAAAATGACGTAACGTTCTCTCTGACTCCCCTTACCTCTACAGCGTTACGTATTTTATAAAAGGCACCCAAAAAGAACCTTGTGAAACAGCAGCTCCCTCAACATGTATTTAGAGAAGAATCGCCCTTAAATGAATAAATACGGAAATTACCTTAGAAAAATAATTACTTTTATTCGCTTATAAAAGTGAAGGAACAACACAATAAGACAAATAATTACAAGGGGAAAACAATACTTTGGAAAAGTGGGTAACAATTTTTTCACCTCTTTCATTGCGAATGTTTACGATTATAGGACGAAAAATTTGTGAAATTTGTATTTCACAGCTACAAATATGCGCACAAGTGGAGGAACAGCAAATTGATCGTGGTTTTGTTCGTAAATCCAGTCTGAAACAAGAAAGAGTCTTAGTGCGCTTTCATTCGCCACAAATTTTATTGCACATTGCTCACACCATACTCACTATTTACAAGACACCCACTGAATTTGATTTAGAAAAGGTATCAAGAGCAATAATTCACAGTGCCTCATGTTTTGGCGCGAGAATTAGCGTTTAAAGACTTTCAACATTTTTACAACAAACATAACAAACAACTATCGTATTGAAAAAAAAATTGGACAGTTAAAAGTATTTTTTTTTTTTGTTTCCTTATAATCCTAGCTTACATAATATTTTACAAATTATCCACTGCTTTTCCTTGTGAATAAAAAAAAGAGATTATAATTAAATGCACGTCAACAGTCAACAGTCCCACGCAAGGAATTTTTATAGTTAAAGAATCAAAACTTAAAAACAAAGACGTGATGCTTACACCCAGAGGCGGATCCAGCGATTTGGCAACACCGGATTCCCTCCGTTTAAACCTACGTAAATAATCGAATCTTATCGGAGCTTCTGGCCCCTCCATAATCGATACATTTCCGTGGGTTTAAATGGCGAAAAACAATGTTGCCAATTTGCTGGATCCACCAATGCTTACACCTAGGAAGAGCAAAACTAATGTTAAGGCACGACATTTTTCGCGACTTTACTGAGGTCAAAATAAGCAGTTTCAAAAATAATCAGGTATTTCTTAGAGTATAAATATAGCACTTCGGTTAATAGAGTATGATTCCTTCATCTTCCCATTTAGTGAGACTAGCAGAGTCCCAAGGATTCAAAAAACGAATGATAGTTATTAAAAGCTGAGTTTGAATCAGTCATATTGATGTATGAGTTCTAGGCGACACGGGACGAACTGGAGTACTTGAGTAATTTCACCAAAAGCGGATCCAGCAGTTTGGCAACATCGGATTTTCTCCATTTAAACCTATGCTAAATAATCGATTCTTGTCGGAGCAGCTGGCCCCTCCAAGAATCGATACATTTCCATAGAATTAAATGGAGGAAATACGATGTTGCCAATTTTCTGGATCCGCCAATGAATTTCACTGGGGCTAGTCACGGGTGTTACTTTACCTCTTATATAATACTCAGTCAGCAAAAACAAGCGGGGTTCTGAAAATTCAAACCTCTTCTAATTTATAATTACAAAATATTCCAACTTCATCAGATGAATGAAGCATCGGAATGAAAGTATATTAACTGAAAAATTGCTAGAACAATGCATTTTAGAGAGGGGAGAAAACGATACAATTATTAGAAAAAATAAATTCACTTCTCACGTTTTGAAGTAAAGTGAGGTAGACACTAAAAGAGCATTTTTTACAGAGAGGGGGAATGATTTAATATAGGAGCGTTTTAAACACAATCAACGGCCTCCTTTTTTGTAAAAATGTAAAGTAAAAATATACGCATAAAGGCACTAATCCGCTTGTTAATCACCCTGTATATAACACATAAAAATCCCGCTGGTGTTTGTCATGGAAAATGATTTTAAAACGACACAGATGAATAGAAAGTGCAAAAAATATATGAACAGTACGATTAAAAGTGCAGTAGATTTTTACTGTTCACTGGAAGAAGAAAAAAACACATTGGATCTAGAATCCAGACTCTTGAAAACATTGAAAAAATACTCTTGATTCAATCAGATTTTTGCTTAAATCAAATGGAAATCCGCTCAAATTAAGAGGCTTGGTTCTTGATTCAAGCAAAAATCCGATTGAATCAAGAGTATTTTTTCTTGTCGATGTTTTTAAGAGTCTAGACTCTAGATCCAATGTGTTTTTTTTCCCCATTGTTCTTGTACTGCTGAGAGGTAGTGAGCATGGACGTTACATAATTAAGAATAGGAAAATCGATTATCTCAAATGGAATCGAAATTCTGATCCATCTACGGTGCCGCTGATCTGCACTGATGGAGATTCGGCCACCGAAAAAACTCAGCGCACTGCCCAGCGGATAATTCCTGTTACAGGGCACTTTCATGTCAATACACTCATGTTTTCTTATGTATTCTGTAATGAATATAAATTTCCCGGCAAAACAAAATAACAAACACAGATAAACAAGGCACAGAAATTAACGAAATTGTCTTACGACAAAGTTCCGAACCCTTCAAAGGAGTCAAATAAAAGAATCGTAAACAAAGAAACAATTTAAAAAAACATATTCAAACGAACCCATCAAGTAGGTTCCGATCCTGTTTTTTGAAAAGAAGGCTGAATTCTGTTGACGAGGACTTCCAGAATTTTATTGAGTATCCGAAACTTTGAAGTTTTAATAAGTTCAAAACGATAACTGGATCTTAACATTTGACTGCAGTCGACTGAGGTCTGACCCACCCATAATAAATGTGATGTTAGTCGATCCAACTTTTAATTTTTACTAAGTACACAACGTTTCGGTCATCTTCTCACCGACATTTTAACACTTGGAATGTATGAAATACGATCTACTTGTACTGCCTGTCTAGGGAAAAACGACGTCATGAGCCTCTGGACGTTGCCAAATTTCCCTCGAATTTTCCCGATTCACGTGTATTTAGACCCCAAATAGCAGAAATGAACCAAGCAGCATCAGCTGTTGCCAAAATTAAAGTGCCTATTAATTTATTTTTTTTACAAGAGAACGTGTGTGCGAAATTTCTTGAAAATTTTATGAAAACAATGCAGACAATCCACAGAAATTTGCACAAAAATCCGCACAACCGTATTCATGTAAAAAACTAAATTGCTCAATTGAATTTGGCAATAGCTGATGTGACTTGGTTCTTTTCTGCTGGACAAGGTCCATACATTCTTGAAATTTTTAAATATTATCGATTAAATTTCGAAAAAAATCGTTTGAAAAATTGGAAGACAAATTTTCAGACTTTTCCTAGTTAATGCTGTTTTTATCGAGGGAAAATTGGCAACACCTGGAGGTTCATACGACGTTTTTCCTCAGCACGGCAGTGTACAAACTTAATCAAGGAACCACAGGCAATGCTGTCACGTCTTAAGGTAACACAAACCACCTTGCGAAGCGACGATCAGACGGTACTATAGGAGGCTGTTCATTCTTTCTGTATGCTTTCATAAGAGGGTGGTGGAGCCTCGTCGTCGATGGGCAGGCGAGGATACGTGACCTGGTCATGACCTTGAGGTTGACTTGGGTGACCTCCGACATGACCTCCTGGTTGACTTAAGGGTGGCTCATGAACCAGAGCGCGAGGTCCGTGGTGGGAAACACCCGGTGCAACATGGTGGGCGTTTGGTGTTGTTGGTTCTGTTCCGTTCTGCATGGTTTCCTGGTCGATTGGTTGTCTTGGAACCGGTTGCTGGCGTAAGAGGGGGTTGCCGCGAATTGTTGCAGGGATGAATCTGGAATGCAATGGAGGGAGAAAGGAGGGATGAGTGTCGCGATAATGCAGGGGGTTTCAAAGCTTAAGAGATCTTGACTCGTGCAATATTCAAAATGGCCGACGCCAACCCGACAGAAAACGAGACGAGAGGGGATCTTATGAACCGGAGTGTTTATACTTTTGAAAATTACATTTTCCTTGCGTTGGTAAAAACCATGGTGCTCCCTCACGATTTGCCAGCGAGAGCGTCGGCAATGGTGAATATTGCATAGCATCCTAAAGCGCAAGAGTTGGCTGGAACGACCTTCCTTAAGAAATTTTCACCTGTGCCATAGTGACGTTTTTGAACGCAGGAAAAAAACACATTGGATCTAGAGTCCAGACTCTTAAGAACATTGAAAAGAAAAAATACTCTTCATTCAATCGGATTTTTGCTTAAATCAAGAACCAAGCCTCATAATTTGAGCGGATTTCCTTTTGATTTAAGCAAAAATCTGATTGAATCGAGAGTATTTTTTCTTGTCAATGTTTTCAAGAATCTGGATTCTAGATCCAATGTGGTTTTTTCCCAGTGAAGCGGGAGGCTAAGCAAACACACATCCCTTACGCAGATTGTGAAGTTAGGGGTGAATTTTAGACTTCCCTGATGCGTTCATCGTGATTTTGTAGCCATTAACTATCACAAATATCTCTTCACTTTGCTCTAGCTGAAATTTGCAACAGGTTCATTGCAAAATTAAGTCCAAATCACCTACACTGGAAAAAAAAAAACACATTGGATCTAGAGTCCAGACTCTTAAAAACATCGACAAGAAAAAGTACTCTTGATTCAATCAGAATCTAGTTTAAATCAAGAACCAAGCCTCTTAATTTAAGCGGATTTCTTTTTATTTCAAGCAAAAATCCGATTGAATCAAGAGTATTTTTTCTTGTCAATGTTTTCAAGAGTCTAGACTCTAGATCCAATGGGTTTTTTTTCCCAGTGTATGCTTCGCTTGCCGGAATGTAAAACGTCTACCCGCGATCCACAAATCGTGCAATCGAGCACATTGTACGCACCTGCGGGCTGATTATTAAAATTGATGGACAAAACTTTAGTCAGAGAAGACATAGGGAGTATGGAGCGATCCTACTGGTTGAAATGGGTGGTTCCTAGAAAGTAAGGGAGAAAATGATAGACTTACTATTGGGTCTCTCATGCGTTGCCGTTAGTTAGTTATTACCTACCTCCTTTGTCCATTCCAACCACCCGCTTCCACCAATAGGATCCCCCCCTTTCGTCTTCTTTGTCTACAGCTTTGTCTATGAATATCAATAATCAGCCGGCTGGCATTTGCACTAAATACCAGGCTGCAGGAAACTCGGTAATCTAGAAATAGTAAAAGCAAAACAAGGGAACAGTGGAAACAAGGCTAAAATACATAAAAATACACGGGACGTTTCGGTGTCTCACGACACCATTATCAACCGTTAAGAAAGTACAAAAATAAAAAAGAAATTAAAATCAAGGAGACTAGCACAGCGTTACATGGTGATGAAAGACTGCAGTCAATAGACTCTTTTTATTTTAATTTCTTTTTTTATTTTTGTTTTTTAGCGGTTGATGATGGTGTCGTGAGACACCGAAACGTCTCGTGTATTTTTATGTATTTTAGCGGTGTTTCCATTGTTTCCTTGTTGTCATGGGAACGGAGTTCCCCATGATATTACAATCGTTCCGTTGCTTTCGCTATGGGATTCCCTATACCTCTGCGACCTTGAGCGTTTCGCCCAGTCTCCGATTTTTGGTTGATTTTCCGATGTATCAAAAACCGTTGTATTTTTTAGCCAATCATGTCTCTACGTCAAGTTGTGTTGATTTCTAAAATTCGCTTTCAGCGAGTTTTTTTCCACTTTGAGATGTCGTGTCTGACTGGTAAATCTGCGCAGAACCACGAAGTTCCGTTTTTAGGCAAATTCTTTTTTTTGGGAGGTTTTCATTGGCTATTTTTCGCCATCAGTTTTCTGTTCGTTGGTGCAAAAGATCGCCTACCTCGTTGCTCTTGAGAAGCCGCCATTATCCCACCTCAAATTTTAAACATAGATATAAAGAAATAATAACCATCGTACAAGGTGGAAAATTGCTCTGGAGGACCCGTTACGGATATATGAGCCAAAATCAGAACTCGATTGATGGATTTAATCCATGAATACAGAAATATTGCCTCAGCTTACTGCCGCGATCGCAAATGCATGGTGTGATGAACCTTGTGACATATGACAGCATAGGTAAACAATGTCTCACAGAGTAATGCGGTTAATTCGTTGTCTCTTAGGACGCCAGTGGCCGAACTGTTGAAATCTCAAGGACGTCTTTTGTGAAGCCCCGCTCAGCGTCCGAGATCACTTAACTGTTCTATTTTTCTCCATTCACATCCGAGCGGCGAGATAGCTCAGTTAGCTACGCCACTGTTCTGATTCTGGGAGAGCGTCACATTTTGTGCGAGCGGGGGTTCGAATCTCGTAGGGGACAGCTAATTTTTACTGGTTGTATTGAATGTTTTAGACCAATCATCTAACAATAATTAATACTTGGCAACTTAGGAAGCACATAGGTCCCTTACGATGCGTATTCGGGCATATGTGTAGAGTAAAAATATCATACGTAGGGTGTCCCAAAAGTACCGGGACTGGTTCTGTAACTTCAAAAGTAAGATAGATACAGACATGATTTTGGTCTCATTTTAAAGATCAACTCAAACCTATCGATTAAAACCAAGATCAGCTCAATCGAATAAAAATTGACCGAGTTATGACAATTTGAAATTAGTGAGGAAAGTTTACCCCTACGGTTTTTAGGAAGATTTTTTGCTTACCAGGATTCAAAAAGTTAATATTCCTATCCACTTTCCTCCGAATCTTCCATAACTTCCTTTTGCTTTTCAAAGTACCGTCCATCAAACCGGATGCACTTTTTCATGCGCTCTTGCCACTTATCCAACATTGTTTTCCTGAATTCTTCCTCTGGGATGGAGTTGAAAAAGTTTTGAATTGCATTCTGGATTTCGGTCTTCGATACGAATCTTCGTCCGCGAAGCTCCTTTTTAAGCGTAGGAAACATCCAAAAATCACATGGAGCCAAGTCAGGGCTATAAGGGGGATGAGGGATTGTTTCAACTCCATTTTTACTCATAAATTCACGTGTTAAGCTCGATGTGTGAGGCCGCGCATTGTCTTGATGGAGTATCCACGAAGCTTTCAAGTCCGACCGTTTCCGGGAAATGTGCATTCTCAACTCCTTTAGTACTTTACAATAATACGCACTGTCAACTGTTGTGTTTGATGGTACAAAATGTTGATAAATGACACCTCGAAAATAAAAAAACACAATAAGCATCACTTTATCGGCCGACTTTTCGATTTACGACGATGAAGAATCTTCCTTAAAAACCGTAGGCGTAAACTTTCCTCGCTGATTTCAAATTGCCATAACTCGGTCAATTTTTATCCGATTGAGCTTATCTTGGTTTTAATCGATGGGTATTGAGTTGATCTTTAAAATGAGATCAAGATCATGTCTGTATCTATCTTACTTTCGAAGTTACAGAACAAGTTTTTTGGGATACCTTATGTATACTTTACGCCGAAAAAGCGAACCTGAAACTTAAATGCGCTAACTTCCGGAAACCATATATAATCCAACGAAAATAAATAATTGGTACATAACAGCTTTCTTGTATGCAAAGAAAATAATTAAAAATGTTAAAAAAGAGATGTCAACACAAAATTACATAGCCCCTTCAATTCAGAAGATACTACAAACGAACTGTACCTTAACATTTTCATATCCCAGAAGCTAACGTTCCCATGACGAATATTGCCATCGCTAGCGATTGCAAAATCCAACTTGTTTTGCTTTTACTTTTTCCGTTTTAGGCTGCCTGTGTACCTTTGTCTTTGTTCTAATCTAGAAATATTTACCTAGAATATATATATCAGGTATATATCTAGAATATATACCTGAGCGTTGCTGAGGGTTCTGGGTGTAGAAGCTGGGCTCCGAGGTTGTGGCGCTGGGGGGCGGGGGCCTGACCCTGATGGTGCGGCGTGTGGGGGGACGTGAAGACGGAGTCACTGCCAGGGGTGGTGGCGTCGAACCACCACGGGTACTGACCCGGTGTGATAGGAGGATCATCCGCGGATGGGAGTACCGGCATGTGCTCGTTGTACGGCTGCTCGAAGTAGTCGTAGCCGTGGAAGACGTGAGGGAACATCTGTCTGTACTCGGGCCGCTTCTTCAACTTGAAGTATTGGTAGTTGTAACCGATCATCACCAGCAGTAAGAACAGCGCCGTCATTACCATATCTGTAAGGATGGAATAACGTGGTGATAATAGAGTACCTTTATAGGGAGAGTATGGACAACTCGATTTGTGTAGTTCTTGGGGCCCAAAAAGGCGACAACGTGAAAAAGAAAAATCACTAGAAAAGTGTCGCTGCCAACCTATGAATTTGAAAGATTAATCGATAGGGCCGACAGTGCACTGTAAAAAACCGTTCTAAGGGTTCAGACTTTGAAACTAAGAAAATGTATCCGAAATCAAAATTTTATACGTTTTTTTTATAATTTTTGATCAGTGCACCTACTCTCGGAGTTTGAATTAGTACCCCTGGTTACTTCGAGTTCATAGGTTGGCTGCCTTTTTGGGCCCTGAGAGCTACATGACCTGATCAAACCTCACGTCCAAATTTTCGAGTTGTCTGTACTCTCCCTATAAAGGTACTCTAGATGATAACTTCTTCTTCCACGAGCGACGCGTTCAATTTTTTGAAAAGTAATTTTTCAAGAGTAAAAAATCATTTGAATCGCATTCGATGTCATGACCATAAAGCTTAACTAGTACGGTCATATTAACAGGAGGACGGAAGAGAAGCTGCCACAAAAGATGCTTGATTAGGCTCCTCCTGGGAGGGAACGAAGGGGGCGCCTAGTGAAAGGGTGGCAAAAGGGGGTTTTAAATGAAATGAGGGAGTGCCAAATCGGGCACTGTGGCGGTTAGGCGTCGCAGAGCGTCAAAGAGCGTTGTAAAAACGACTTTTATGAATGTACGTTTTTTTTCTTTTATCAATTTTTAAGCAACCCACAGAGTTAATCGCACACTTAATGCCCCAGCCCCAGGTGACCATTGCCTGAGACCTGAAACCATTGACTCAGATCACCAGGCCGAGAATCGAACCCGAAATCTCTCGGTCATAGGGCCAGCGACGCTACAATCACTACACCCCGGGAGGCAAACAGTAAAAAATAATTTGATTCAAACTGATGGCGGATACGCATCAGAAGCCGTTCATAAATGGCGTCGCCCATATTCGCGACTTCTTAACCCCTCCCTTCCCCTTTGTCACCTACATGTGACTCACCACCAGACTCACCCCCCCCAAAAATTACGTCATTTCAAGCATACTCCACCACCTCTTTTATTTGCGTGGGTGTAGGTGTGCGAAAAATAAGGACATCATGGTTGCCACAAAATTTAGAAAATTAAATTCCTTGATTTCCCTGACACATTTTGGTGGAATTCCCTAACAATTGAAGATGTGACGGATGGTTAAGAAGGCATAATTGAAAATAGTTTTCAGGCAAAATTTCTTGTTCGAAACCGCAAACTCATTTTAGAAAGCCAATGTGGTGATTTAACCAATTTTCCCTAACATTTTCGTCATTATCGTCATTTTTCCTGACATTTCCCGTTTTTCCCTGACAGTGGCAACCCTGGAACATGAATCGATCGACGTTAATCGGCGGACGTGATTCGATTGACAAGAATCGATCGACGTGATTCGATCGATTCACGGGTTCATCGATTGACCCACGAGTTTGTCAATCGATTCACGGATTGGTCGGCCAATTCACGAGTTTTTCGATCGATTCACCCTTATCGATCGATTCATGTTGATCGAATCCATACCCTCCAACTCAGAGGATTCTCAGAGGATCCTCAGAGATCAGAGGACTCGAGGTCAACGAAATATAACCTTACCTCTGAACTGATAGGGAGGGTCGATGGTGGCCGTGTCGAAATTCTCCACAGTCGCGCGCCGGATAATGTTGATGAAGGCATACTTGAGGTTGGATCCGATGTAATGGTCAATCGGGATGATGGTCATGTACGCTCCGACAATGCTGCAACCTAGGATGCAAGCCTTGTGGTGTCCGGAGTGGAAGATCACAATAATCAACAAAGTCAGACTCCAGAACAGTAGCCAGAAATTGGTGTCATTTTCCAACGGTTGAACGTCAGCTGAAAAGAGAAATGAGTAGCGGTAAAGAGAGGGGTAAAGGCCCGAAGCGCCTTCACTTTTGTGTGTTTGCATCACGGAGAAAAAAATCGAGTATCTCTAAGGAGAATGGTAAAGGCCCGGAGCGCCTTCATTTTTGTGCGTATGCACCACGGACATCCTTAGAGCACGAATACTTGCATCAATGCGTTAATATCTACGTTGAATGGAACAATGAACAATGGAAGTAGGAGTCTGGAAATTCTGATATGTACATGTTTTCTAACCAGAATTTTATGCAAAACACGATTTGCGCAACGAAAATTACTGAAACCAATTCCTAACTTAGATGTTAACGCAAGAAGAGATAGAATACACAGTAATCATTAGTAAGAGAGAAGAAGAGATAGAATAATATAGTTAATAATATTTAAGTGTTGTACTAATAAAACAGCACTTTAATAAATTAAATTTATAAAAGTATGTGAAGAAAATATTTAACAATCATTAGTAAGAGAGAAGAAGAGATAGTTTAGTAGAGGCTGTATTTGTGTACATTGGTTGCGGAAAGTTTGAAATCCTGGCTGACAAGAAAAATAATAATCTACGCCCACTACGACGATTTTGGCAAGTTTCTTAATTGAGCAATGTTCCTTCCGCACCTTGTGTTGTTCAAAGTGTTAACAACGTCCAACAACTGAGCCGAAGCACCGACATTCAGTTTGTCAAATTTTCTCCTGAAAATTGCCCCCGGAAAGACTGAAATTTTCTGAGAAAGACCCGGGACTCCCTCTTGGAAACAGAAAAACTTTCCCGAGCTCTCCTCTGGAGCTGGGGTAGTCCCGTAGAAACTCCTTGGTGGTATATTTTTCAACGGCCCGCAGACTCCCCTTGTCCCCCACAAAAAGTTGATGGTCAATTAGCAGAGTCGAAGCTTACCGAGTCCAGCAAAGAAGACAACGGAAGTGAGGACGCCACCACCGGCAACATACGTTGAGAACCGTGAAATATAGGACGAACAGCAACAAGACCAAATTAAAAGCCAGATCAGCCCCAATCCAAGTCCACTTGCTAGAGGCTTCACCACACTAACTATGAGCGGGAAGAAGAGAAGAAAAATCAGAAATTACAGTAGGTAATATTGACAAGAACACTGCCGTGCTAAGGAAAAACTCCATATGAGCCTTCAGACGTTGCCAAGTTTCCTCCGACGGAAACCGAAATTACTGGGTAAATTGTGAAAATCTTTTTCTAGAAATTTCAGACTATTTTGTGCGCAATTTAGTCTAAAATATCTGAAAATTTCAAGGAAAAATACGATAGACTTTCTTCAAAAATGCATGTCTTACTCGGGGAAATTTGGCAACTCTCGAAGGTTCATACGGCGTTCTTTCTTAGCAAGTCAGAATATAGAGTAATATTACAGTAATTATTACAATAATATTGACGGCTTGCCGAGTGAGTCGTTTCAACAGAGATGCGGTTTCCTGCCACAGCACGTTAAAATCAGAATATAGCTGCATGAACATTTTCATACTGGAGCACCATAACACGTATGTACTTTTGATAATAATTAAGTGCTGCACTTAAATAGATTTAAATAAATAATGAGGAATATATTGAATAAATGTTAGTGAGTTAAGAAATTGAGGAATTTATTCGATACTATTTAAGTGCTGCAGTAATAAATCGGCACTTAGAAATTTACTTACAGGGAAGTAATTTAATGAATAATGCAATGGACCACTAGACAAGGTACGAATGTCAGCATTCTGATACATGTTTCTTAACCAAAATTTTACGTAAAACACGATGCGCACAACGAAAATGACCGAAATCAACTCCTTACGAAGATAATAAATGATAATTGATGCGTAAATTCAAACCACCCGCTTATGAGTACTCAATGCTCTACTTGATTCACATCGTGCGCTAAACGTTATCATGACAGTATCATCTGCGATTTAAAAATCTGGCAACCTCAATTTTGACGCTTTGGCTCAGCTGTAGCAAATTGCTTATAGTTTGGACAACATATGGTGGGAAATGAACATTGCTCGATTGAGCAGATTGCTGAAACCGTTGTAGTGCGCGATTTGGCTCAAGTAGAGCTTTGAGTTTCTTGTGAGCGGGCAGTTCAAATTCCTTGTAACCAATGTGAAATAAAAACGTTAGTATCTTCATTAGGAGTTGGTTTCAGTCATTTGCGTTGCGCGAATCGTGTTTTCCGTGAAATTTTGGTTAGGAAACATGAATCGGAATACTTTAATTCGTACCTTGTCTAGTGGTCCATTAAGAACAATGTGTCCGACCCATTTTAAAAACGACTCACGTCACAAGACCAGATATAATTTTGAAATCCAAAATGAAACGGCAGCATATTCTATTTGATATTTTATTCCTCGTTGTGATGAGCCGAGTCGATTCTAGTTGGGTTCGGTTGGGTCATGCATCTAAACTAACTCCGTGGCAATGCGTAGAGTATCACTCAAAGCGAAGGCGCGTTCAATTGAAAGCCACGTTAATGGATTTTCACGGATTGAGAATTATCTCATGTTTTCGAAATTTGTCTCAATCTTCAAATAGTTTTGACAATTAGACTACAGTTTTTAATTCGGAACTTCTATTACCAACTTTGTTTTGAAACGACGTAAGTTCGATTAGTTCCTCCGTGCAGATCAGTGGCGAGGCGTGAATGATCGATTATCGACATTTCTCCATTTGAAGCTGTGGTAAGGAAATCGTTTATTAAGGTGTTTGTTGCGAACTCCCTGTTTATCGATCTTTTTCCATGGGTTTAAATGGCAGATCAAACCGCAAACTTTCAAGCAATTAATTCCGCAAATAAACATTAAACTAATTTTAATATACATCTCAAATAAAGAATTTTCCTGAGTGCTAATTTTGCTGGACAAGATAAGAGGTGTCAGAGTACTAGCGCAAGATTACAGACCATTGAATTAGGTATGAACTCCTTTATTACATCATATTTGATGGGCGTAAGAATGGAGTAAAATCCGAACTCCTTCGCAAGGATGTAATTCTTATGCTAAAATTGGGCTGGAAAATGATTGATACCTGCGTCATGAGAACGGTACGCAGAGAGAACGCCAAAGAGCAGGGAAGAGATAAGGTACATTTCCAAGTTGGGCGCCACATGACCATGCAGGCAAAGGAGCAGTCCTATGCAGAAGATTGTTGCAGCCACTGTCTTGGTCAAAGTAGTGTCTGGAAAAAATTGAGAGAAAACACTGAAACATTGAACCACCGGAAATTTTTTGAAAAGGGCCGAACAAAATTTAAAGGACGACAACAAAAACGATAGAACAAAGAAGGATAAGTTCCATCAGTTTGTTTTTTGTTATTTTTTTTCTCGTTCCCCCTCCACAAAAAAACTTATAGATGCGGGACTTGATTCGGAAGACAGTTTATACGCGTTTGGTAACTAGAGATATACCTACATGGAAAGTTTTGGACAAACACACAGGAGCAATTGCTTAGGACGCTTAGGATACGTAAGAGGTGAATGCATTAAGAATCGGAAGGCGAAAAAGAAGAGAAAGAAGAAGAAGAAGAATTAGAAGAAGAAGAAGTAGGAGGAGGAGGCGGAGAAGAAGAAGGAGAAGAAGAAAGAGCGGGAAAAGCAAATGAAAAAAAGGAGAAGAAGGAGAAGAGAAGGAAGAGGAGGAGGAGGAAGACGGAAGAGATGAAGAGGAGGAAGAAAGAGAAGGAGAGGAGAAGACGGAGAGGTGGAGTAGGTGAGGAGATGAAGGAGCGGGTAAGAAGAGGAAAAAAAGAAGAGGAGGGGAAAGATATAAAAAATGAAGAACAGGAAGAATGGGAAAAGGAGGAGGAGAAGGAAAAAGAGGAGGAAGAGAAAGAGAAGAACGAAGAAAAATAATATCTTCTTGTGCTGATATTTTCATCTTATTCTTTCCCTACTCCATATTATATTTACTCCTACCATTTTCTTCTTTCTCTTCCTTTTTCTGCTATTTTCCTTTTCCTTCGTCTCCCTCTTCTGATTCCGAATGTATCCTCATTTGATGCACCATGTCAAAAACCGAGGGGTGAAATTCGGTGCCGGATTCTTTATGGCGCCCAAAAACTCCGCGTGGCATGAATGCAAAGTGAAATTAGCACCATTACACCGCATAACACTCCGCAAAAGGAGTAAACTCTACTTCATAATATAGGGTCAGTCACGACGTAAAAAGAATAGATTCCGCTCCGCATTCATATCTCTCGGGGGTCTCGGGCGCTAAAGACTCCGGCACAAACTTTAACTTCAAAATTTTAAATAGGGTATGTTCGGAATCTTACGATCTGATCCCGTCAGACTAGGGCGCCCAATTCCATGTTCCGAGTTACATCGGAAACCACGATTCAATCCTTTACTTTAACTGAACTTACTGAGGACGTTACAGGAGCCACTCGTACGGATCGTGCTGCAGGCGTAGGTGTGGGTGGGCACGTAGGCGGCCGATTTCGTGACGCCCATTTGCGTCTCGGACACGATGACGGCGTAAACGGAGCCAGTTCCCGGATACGCGCTGTACCGCTTCTTCTGGTTGGTCCCGATCAGCGGCGGTAAAACCTGAAACACGAATCCAAAAAACTGAAACGCAAAAGAATATGCACGGTCATGAGCGCTGGTTCGGGGGCCATTCCAGAATTACGTATGGCATTTCGGCCAACTATTTGACACCCCCCCCCCTCCGCCTCTGTAGACACCTGTAAGAAATCTCAGATCTCCCCTTTTGAATTACGTAAAATTGGCCGGGACCCCCTCCCCCCATTTTTTTCAGAAAAAAAAAACCAAGAAAGCCTGATAAAATAGTTGGAATAAATTTAAGGCTGCTGTAAAGGTATTTTGATGAAAATCGGTAAAAAAAGAAGTAAATAATTGAAATTTAATATTCAGGGTGTTTACTAGTTTGAAAAACCAAAATTGGGGACTTTCGGGGACTTTTAGAGGTGTTTTGAAATGGCAGGATTTCACAGATCAAAAGGCCGATAAAGTTTTTTTTTTTTTTTTTTTTTTTTT